TTGGGGCCAAAATACTTTAGAACACAAAGGAACTAGCATACGCCATGGTTTAAAAATGGGGAAACCCTTAGAGGGGAAATGCCCCATCTCCCAGTCCCCAGCACGCTAAGATGGCCAGTTCCCCCACCTTGCAGCTGATTTGCAGCAGCATCTGATAGGAAAGAGAAGGGTGGATAGTTGTATGATTGTTTAATGGCTTCGAGTTCTGGTTCCATTTCCTATATAAGTGTCTGATTTCCCACTTCATTCATTAAACTGCGGCTAGAGCACTTTCTAATTTCTACTTCCTCTGTAACTAACACACACACAATATATAATCCAAACCCCCATTTCATATGGGAGAGCTCCTTGAGAGTCTTAAAGAGAAATCACAAATGGTTTTGTGGAGATGTGAGGAGTCTACAATTTTTGTTTGTTTTTCCTGTCTTTCAGTTTCAGAGCTAGAGCAAATGACAGTCCAGGTTTTTAAGGGGCATTGCTATAGTGTAGGGTCACATGCCAAATCTGTCCCAATGACACAAGAAGGGATCCGGTTAGTTTAGCAGCCAGTCCCAGTAACCACACAACTCCTTTGAAGGAAAAAAGAGCTTGTAATATGAGAAGGGGAGATCAAATCAAAGAATTGGCAACAAAAGTTTATCTGGAATGAAATAAAAATGGAGACCCGGGAAGTATATTGTATAATCAGATTTCATTCAAATTTTAGAACATAGTTTTCTCCAATTCTATGGGAGAATGAGACTTGATTATTTAAAATTTTATATACCACAAGGGACATAAACCCACAGGTGGTTTCTCTAATGTAGTGATTAACATCTTGGTCTGACATCTGACAGGTCCCTGGTTTGAAACAAAGCAGAAATGATACATTTTCCTTATTTTTTTCAATTGCTCTTGTTTTAAATGTAGTCTAGTATTTAATGTTTCCCAGCTCATTGAGGTCAAAAATCATATTCACATAAGGGAAATGTCACGACTATCCTAAATGGATGGACAATACATTAGTCCATCTTGCTCAGTTTACGCTATTATAGTGGTTGGTAGCAAGCTGAGTGATCCTGATGGATGACTGTAGATAATATTTCCCGGTCGTGTTCCCACAGTGACATTCTCGGATGACCAACATCCCCCATCTTTCAAAGGAATAAACTGCTAACATTTGGACCTGAACTTGGAAACCTGGCCTTAAATAGCAGGAAGCTCAAGTTTGGAATACATTTTTACAATTGGTATAAGATTCACAATGTCACAATAACTGAAATTGCTTTGTTCTTATCGTTTGCCTAGTATAGAATTAAATGTCTTTAAATGTAAAGGAGTCAAGTTAAATCACTTTGCAGAGTCAATAATTATTTATTTATTTAGCATTTGCGTGTTCACCAAACCAAGCAATAACATTCTCAGTGGCCAAGTGGAGCTCTCGGAGCTCACTGCTCAATTTGATAAGTGGGCATTCCTCAACAACGTGTATCATTATTTGATCTGCGCCACAGCTGCAGCTTGGGTTGTCTCGAAGACCCCAACAGTGCTGGTTGGCTGCACATAAGCCTTGCCCAGCCCAGAATTGGTTAAGAAGGACCCAATGATGACGTGGCAAGTCAAAGCCAGGCAGGCAAGCAGTAGGGTCTGTGATGAGGAACTGATTGGTGATTCGTGTTAAGCACTACTCTTCCCCCCACAAGGACTCCACTGTCACATCCCGGCATGGCAGTAGAGTTGCCAATATTGGTTGGACATATTTCTGGAGTTTTTAGCACATGATATAATCTTTAATTAAAGATTGATCTTTAATTCCTGGAGACTCTAGGGCAATTCTGGCAGGTTGGCAACCCTACATGGCAGCCTTGACCACAGTGGGTGTTGTGATGAAAGACATGTGGCTGGTGAGCCAAAAAGGTCTTTGAGCAAGGGCAAGCTTGGGTTAGCATTTACCTTCCCAAGCAGCTTGCCAGCTGCAGTCTCCCTCCTGATCTAGGAGGGCTGAGAACTGGAAGCTATGGAAGATGAGTTGGTTGGAGAGTTCCTGTGATGATGCGCATTGTTGAGTTGAGTTGCATGTCAACAAGTTTGGTGTATAAAGATGTGTGTTGTTTTTCATTTCTTAGGTTCTGATGCAATGTGTGGCCATTTTGTTTCACTCCTTTCCTTTAAAATTTTAGTAATTTCCACAGAAATATTTCTTCTTTTGGAGAGACTACATTCATTTAAATCTACCCCTCACCCCTCCAAAACAGAGAAAGATTTAAATATTCAAATATCAGTAGAGCCAATATTTTGTCAAATCTCTGCCCCAGCCCTCCCCCCCCCCCCCCCCAACGTAGCATGGAGAAGTCAATCCTGCGGTGTTAATGCTCCAGAGCATGCAAGGAATATATTGTAAAAATAACAAGATCTTCCCAATTTCAGACCATTCTTTCCCATATGCTGATAACTGAGCTGAGGGCTGATTAGAAGCCATCGTTTCTGGGCATGTTATAAAGGGACCTGGGTTTGGATGGGTTTTTTGCAGCCCTGCCCTGCCCCCTGTCATGGCCTGCAGTGGAAAGGGGGATGAGGGTGCTGGAAAGGACAAAGATGTCCCTGTCATGGAGACACAACTCACCTCCCACCAACATCCCTCCACCAGTCCCGAGGGCAGCCATCTGAAATATGCTGTCCATTGATCTGTGCACAGAAAATTGTGTTTCTGTGTAAAATCCAGGAGGGACATGAAATGACCACCTGGTGGCACCATAACCTAAGGAACGAGGGTGAAGGACTCAGAACAGCATCCAGGCTGAGAACTGATTTCACTCCAGTCTCCTGGAATGAACCATTGATAATAGTGACTCTCCCCAGGCACGCAGGGAGCAAAAGGAGCAGCCAGGGGCTAAGAAGATGAATTACACAGTTGGCCCAGTAAAGCGTCTGTGAATGGCCTGGAGGATGAACCAGATTTACTAAAGAGTTGACACAATTTGAAAAACAAATTAATTTATAAAACTCCAAGAGTGTTCTGAGCTAATTTGAGAAGGGGAAAACTGGCCAAATGCTGAGGAGAACTGATTCCCTCTGTCCAGTTTGAACCATAGTCCTTTAGCATTAGAATGAGTTTTTTCAGATCAATATTTTGTGATTGGGATATGTGCTGTAGCTCAACTGGTAGCACATGAGACTTTTACTCTCAGGCCTGCGAGTTTGACGCCCCCCAACACCACCACCATTAGGATATGCCTCTCCTTTATTTTTTTAAGCAGTTACGAACTCCCACTAAGGAATGGAATTGGAATTTTTTTTATTCCACATAGCGCAAGGCTGTTTCTTATCTATTTTGCTGTGGATTATTCTTGGGGAAGATGGAGAAATCCCCTAAAAAAACTCTTTGTCTATGTTTAAACTGCCCCAACCCCAAACTACCCCTTTTTGCCTCAGAGAAAAAGGAAAGCACTGCCCTCTCTGAGAGTGATGCACCCCCCTGGGCTCTGTCAGTAATGCTGAAAGTTGTGCCACTCTGTGAACGTGTTCCCGCCTCTCTCCAGAATTGTGGCATCAGAAGCGGGAATTTGCTTTACTTTTGTCGATTAAATAAACTGCTTCTGTGTTTCTAAAAGGAAAATAATGTTTTCTGTGAAAAACAGCATTTTTTAATAAAAAAAGGAGTGACATGAAATAGCTACATGACGACACCAGAACACCAGGAATGGGAAAGAAGAGGCTGCTAGTCTGCACATTGATTATGAAAAGGGATGGACTCACTCTCCTCTGTTCACAGAGAGACTCATTTATTTCTCCAATAGGCAAACTTAAATTTAAACACATTTCTAGGGCGTCTGAAAGGGAATTCAGGGGGTATTTCCCTCAGGGGACATTGTGCCTGGCCCAGCACTGCTAGTAAAAGGGCTGATGCGATGAACGGGTACATAATGTTATGGCAGACTGTATGTATCATATACTGATGGAGGAGTGATTTCAATCCCAGCTCTGACACAGGGTGAACAGGTGGCTGCTTCGCTCTTGTTTTAAGGATCTGAGCACTTCAGGCAATGTGGGGATATAGCTCAGTGGCAGAACTCCTGTTTTGTCTGTAAGAAGCTGCTGGGTTTCAATCCCTGCCCTCTTCTGAAAATGCTTGTTTTGATTCCTGTCATTGGGGGTTGGTTGTTTCTTTACATCCTGAGATCAGGGCACAAATGGTCCACACCTCTCTGCTGGCCTTCCATTCGTGTGGGAATGTTCCCTTCTTCCTCCAAGACAGTACTTTGTGCTCATGCCTAGCGGTGACTCAGCATTTTATGAAATAGACCTAAAATGTCCCTCTATATAAACATTGCTCTGTTGAGCTTTAGCCCAGAGCTAGGGCCACCTCCCCCGGGTCTCAAGTTAGTGAATCTCAGGGAGGGTCAGACACATTCAGATGCTGGGCTCTTCCACACACCCCACTCTGCTGACAGCCCTGCAACCTGAGCTGGAGCTGCCGGCTATTCCAGCTCACTCTGCTACTTCAGTTGGGAGAACAAAACCGGCCAAAAAGTCAGGTTTTTTTTCCTTACTGAGGCAAAAATAAGGTGACAGTAAATTATTATGGCTGATCAAAGAAGGTTCAGTGATCTTTTTAACCTTGTTTCTAAAAAATCACTCTTTCCTCTAAATAACACCATCAAGAAAAATAAATATCCCTGTTTCAGCCCCTAATGAGAAACTATGCCCCTATTCTCTACACTCCAGCCTGTCGCTGGTAACATCCCCCACACTGGGGAAACTGGCCAGCGTTTTCCCCTCTTTAGTGCAGTTTGAGTCACACATATTGCCCCAAAGATAAACCTCACAGCACGAATTAGCGAAGACCCCATCACAGCAGAGTCTGGGAGTAACCCAGCCCTGAGATTGACCAAAAGTGAGAGTGCTCACAAACCATTGTCAGATGTCATCCTTTGACTGACAGGCTGGTAAGTGAGTAGTGTGGCTAGCTCAGTTGGTAGCATAGCACCTTAAGGGAGGTGGTTTTTGGTGCCACATCGTGGGAATTGTGTTTGAATTTAGGCTCTCCATGTAATAGCTCCCTACTATTACTCAGAAAAAAAGCACAAAGAAAGTATCAGAATTTAGAACATTTTCCATCTGGACAATGAGCTAAAAAGTGGCCATGAGGCAGTTTGAGTCAATTCGAGAAACGGGAGAAACAAAAAAATCTTCCCTCTGTGTGACAGAAGCAGAGACACAAACCATCCCAGGGAGAGGATCTGCTGCCACCTTATATCATTCTGAGACACAAGAATGGTCCCAGCTAGATGATCAGACTGGGGAGTTTCTGCTACTGATGGGGATCAGTCCTACAGAAGCGTGTCTAGACACACTAGACCACCGTTTCTCAAATGCGGCCACCACGGGGTTTCTCTGCAGCCACAGCAGTTTCCTGGGCAGTGGGTGCAAACATCAGCCCCTCCCTCCCTCTCTGTTGCTCCTGC